GATAACAAGCAAGGGCAACCCTGCCTCCAGTGCTTGATGGAATGATGGACAACCCTGCCCCCAGTGCTTGATGGAGTGATGGACAACCCTGCCCCCAGTGCTTGATGAAATGATGGACAACCCTTCCCCCAGTACTTGATGGAATGATGGGCAACCCTGCCCCCAGTGCTTGATGGAGTGATGGACAACCCTGCCCATCTTCGTTAACGTATACGCCATTACCGACTGAAAATTTTTCGAAAATTCAGGTATCCTAGGCTGTTAGGATTTAGTGACAACGTTGCCGATGAACAAAGTTATAGGTTTCACCCATTGAAATGATAGTCTCAAATCAAATCATTCAAACTTATAATTTTTCAATACCATCCCAGGCATGGTCGTTGTTGTATTTTTCTTGTGTGTTTTATGGTTTTCGGGTTCATCCTATGTATTTTTAATTTAGCATCCGCTCGAAAGAATTTTTTCTGTGTGTTCATAGAAAATTCAGATTTTCACGGCAATTTCCAATCAAAATTCAGGAGATGGAGTAGTGGAGTCGTTTTTTTTTAGTAATCATCTTATCCATATTTTAACTGTGATGAGATAGCTCACCTAAAAGCCCCAAACATATTTTCAGGCATTCAAAGTGCCTATAGCTTATTGATTACTGCTTTCAAATAAAAAGCATAACTATTGCACTAAATAATTCGAATAAATAGCATAGTGATTGTTGAGGAAACATGTTCGGGTCATATGTGATCGATAGATTAGATCTCGAATTCATTTACGCGATTTTGAGGTAGAACTTTACTACAAATAAATCCAAAATTAGATTTTCCAGAAATTATTTAAATACTACATCATATTGAAATAGATTCTTCAGTGCGAAGGATTTCAAAATTATTAAGTTATCTTCTGGGAATCTTCTATCCCTGGTGCTGGATGGAATGATGGACAAGCTTGCCCTTTATCGTTAACATAAACAACATTACCGACTTCTTTACCTGATAAATTTGTCAAAATTTCAAGCTTCCTAGAATTTCAGGGATGTGTGTCAACGTTGCCGATGTATAAAATTATTTTGTTCACCCATTGAGATAATAGTCTCAAATTATATAATTTTTATAATATAATTATTAATTTTCTTATGATATGTTGGTAATTTTTTAAGGTATAATTATAATTTTTCGTTCATCCCAGACATGGTCGTTGATTATTTTGGGTCAACTGCCGAAGACCACCACTGCGCTGGATGTAATGGACCATCATGATTCCTGCCTTCCGGAACGTAGCCTTCAACACTTCAAGCCTTCCATATCTAGACCGTGGGTCGAACCAGCCCTCGGTCGAACGGCCACTTGTCAAAGGACGATAAATTTTGGAACAGAACTATGCTATCTGAAACTTAATTTCAGATGCGGTGAACGTAAAATTACGTAATTTAACGATGCCCGGAAGTCAGATTCGATCCGCGGCCTGGTGGTGCACGGCAGGTTCTATGCGAGGCCGGAGGAAGACAAAGCCGAGTGGTTCACGGCTGATTGGTGGATGTCCGGAGAGATCCAGAGCGTTCGATTCAGGGCTTATTGGTGCACAAAATTGGTGGTGCACGGCTGCGCTCCCATTATTTTTTCTTGTGTGATTTATCGTTCTTCGGGTTCATCTTTTAGATCTTAAATTAGCTTCCGCACGAATAAGTTTTCAATAAATTCATAGAAAATTGACATGTTACAGCAATATCGAATCAAAATATAAGAGTTTGAGTAGTGGATGCGTTTTATAGCAATTATTTATCATCATGTCAACAGTGATGAGAAATCTCACTTAGTAGCGCCAAACATATTTGCATGCATTCAAATTGGCTATAGCTCCTTCATTACTGCTCTAAATGAAAAGCATAAATAACTATTGCAGAAATTAATTCAAATAAATAGCATTGTGATTGTTGAGGAAACATGTGTGGGTCAAATGTGATCGATGGATTTGATCTCGAATTCTTTTACACGATTTTGAGGTAGAACTTCACTATAAATAAATCCAAAATTAGGTTTTACATCAAATAATTTAAAACTACATCATATTGAACGAAATTCTTTAGTATTATGGATTTCAAAATTGTTAGTTATCTTATGGGACTCATTTTCTGTTCCAAAAAAACGGAGCGTTTAGTTAATTAGTCGAGAATTTAATTTAATGCAAATAAATAATTGGAAACCTAAATACGGTTTTCTGGCTTTTTGTAAATTTGGGCAGTTCTCGCATGAAATTGAAGGTGGATTCATGTTGTAACTCTTTCCTGCTGAATGCATATTTTAAACAACTTTACAGCACCATTCAATATTTCATTCTAGGTACGCTGCCGCGAGACGCAACCGAAGCAATCTCATAGCGAGCGTTGAAATATAGATATGCGATTTCAGATTTTGCACATTACATCGATTAAGGAGTGATTTGAATTGATAATCAAAAATACTGATAACTTCATAGCGTATTCCATATAACACTTCTTTTCGAGGAGTAACTAAATAAGTTATCACCGGGCGTGACTGCCCCTGCAATGTTAGAGGTCAGACTTGACCGAATCGTTCCTATCAAGTGGATAATGAAAGAATTGATTATTCACAATTATATGGGCAATATTCACAATTATATGGGCAATATTCAAAATTATATGGGCAATATTCACAATTACATGGGCGAAATTAATGGGTGAATATTGAGGGAATATACCTCGATAATGTATGGGCGAAACGGCCAAGTGGTGCGATACTTTTTCAAATCGTAGCCGAATTGATCTGAAAATTTTAAAATTATTTATTCTATCAATTGATTCATGCATTGTTTCCAACTTTACGCAAGTCTGCAAGATTTCTGATCGATTGGACCGGTATAAGTGTGTTAAATGTCGATTATAGGATTTGTAGCAGACAAAATTATTTTTTCTCTTTTTTATATTGAAACAAGTTTTTTATTAATTTGAAATTAATTATTCTGTCAATTGATTCATGCACTGTTTCCAACTTTACGCAAGTGTGCAAAATTTCAGATCGATTGGAGAGGTAGAAATGAGTTAAATACCGATTATATGATTTGTAGCAGACAAGCAAACAAACAAACAAGAAGAAGTGAAATTAATAAAGAGAAGTATTATAAAAAATAGTGTAAAAGTGTGCGTGTTGATGGCTGCTCGTATGATTTAATTGCAGTTGCGAACGTTCCATGCTTCTTTTATCGACGTCTGCGTAGCGACCTCATTGAATTATACAAGAGTATTCATAGTTAATAAAAGGTGCCGGAAGGATTACTAGAATTTGAATCAAGAACCAACACCAGGGGCCACGGCTATAGAATAGAATAGAATGAAGTATCGGCACTGAAAAAATAGGCCCATGGCCTGTTGCCAATTCTTGAATTTTTCGTGACGGAAGGCACGAAAAATTAATGAATCGGCAGTTGATTTGTCAACATACGAAGTTAATTTGTCAACATAAACAGTTAATTTGTCAACATGTAAACCCGGGGTGAACTCAGATACGCGGGTACACTCCGTAAACAAAATACGCGTGTACACCCTATACACAAAATGCGCGTGTACACCCTGTACACAAAATACGCGTGTATACCCTGGACCCTGCACGCAAAATACGTGTGTACAACCTGTACACAAAATACGTGTGTACACCCTGTAAACAAAATACGCGTGTACACCCTGCACATAAAATAATCAGGTACACCCTGTACACAAACCGTCTTAATTAGGGTTAAAAGCAAACATTCTGCCAACAAGCTGATTGTTCAAGACACAACTCACACAGTTGTGTGAAAGATGAACGCAATGTCAGCGAGGGCACTCAGTGTTGCAGGCAGCATCATAGTTTTAATACACATTCTTGATTAGTCAACCTAAACTGATTTGAATAATTCATTGATTTGCACAATTAATAATCGAAAATATCATCAGGACTCTAAAGTTAACTAAGGAGTTGCTCATTGATATAAATTATTTGTTGTAAGCCGTGTCAAATATTGACTTTATTGACGACAAAATGCATACTATTGTAATAGTCACTCTAATTTATAATAATATCGGGATAACTATAGGTTTTTGAGCTATAAATGCAGTCAAACGTCCGCTTTTCCTCCCGGTAATCAGCAGGACGTTTCGCAAGCTCTGGAGAGGGAAAGCCGTACGCTGGACTCGGCGTATGAAGGAGGATGCGGCAAGGCTTTCAAGGCTGCAGAGTGAGAAATGCTAATGCGGGTCACACGAATATGCTCGAGAATATCATGAATATAATATCATTCATATGGTTCTCCTTTATTATTAATGCAGATTTGAGCGATGTCCAGCATTGACGTTGTGAATAAGTATACGTTAACAAGGTCAGGAATCTTCAATTAGGAACAGTATTTCGTCTTAAAGGTCATCCAATGTGTCATCTAATGTGTCATCTGATGGGGCATCTAAATATTAATGCATCGACGGATTGATGTGAAAATTAAGGACCGGTGATAACTCATGGATAATGTCTTCTAATACATTGTATTTACATTGCCACTCCATATTTCGACGACGCAGGTGCGACTCATTAATTCCAGTGCAAGGCGGGTGGGCCGAAATTGCCTCGTCATTTCTTGACCATGAAGCTGCAGACGCAGCCCCATTAATATTACATACCATGATAAACAAAGGAAGAGTTCTGAATATTTATGCTCACGTTCATCAAAGTGTACCTACGTATGCTATCATCTGCTCATTTATTATGTCGCGCGAAGAATAACACGACGGCATTTGCCGTTATTATGTTCTAAGGCCGCTGGGTACTCGTGCTTGGTCGTCTGAAAAAATAATGACAGCAGATTTTGTAGCAATATATACACCACATTTTAATATTGCGGATTTTAACCATAAACTATTAGGTCCAGAATAGTAATTAATAATTCTCCGCGTTGTAATTTGCCCCAGAGTGTTCAACAGTTTATATTATCTGTGTAGTTAATATACTTCGTATCTTGCGCAGGTGTGCCTAATGCTTACGTTGGTTGCGGCAGCGGTGGCTGCTCCTGCGTATCCAAAAAAATATGATCCACTCATCCACGGTCCTAAACGTACGGCGATCCACAAGGAATTGAAGGGAAAGTTCCAGGAACCCATGAAGACGCCTGAAGTAAATTCCTACGATGGATTTGAGGGAGCCTTCGAGGTTCCTCTTCAGCCACCTGCAGAGTACCCATACCTTCGTGCTGATGGCCAAGCTCACGGGGACATTTCTCCTCCTCCTTCCAGCGACGACACATCCTCAACCACGAGCAGTTACCTCGTGTACGACAAGGAGGGAGAGATGCTACCTTTTGTTCCACCTCCGGTCTCCAGCTATGCCATCATCCCTGCGTCTAATGACGGTGCGGATGCCATGTCATTCCTTAGGTTCTTGGTCAGGGCGCTGCCCAAAGATTCTTCGTACAGCAAGTACAGCGCTGATCCCGAACCTGAAGATCTGAACCCTCCAGACCAGCACCCTGAGTCGTCATACTTGGCATACGGCGATGCGACCAAAGCTGACACAATTATGGCTCCCAGCACTGAACACAAGAAAGAGAAAACAGTTTCGTCTTATTCCTCTTATGAATAGAAATCAATAAAGCTTGACATGCACATATTTCTCGGTAATTAGCATCAAAAACCAAAGTTAAGTTCAAGTTTATGTGTAAATAATTAAGAGAACCAAGAATAGTGACAAGAGATACTAAGTATAACTAATGTAAGAAAATTTTTGCTGACAAAGCTAAATTATCTGCTTTCTAAAGTGCACATCGTCATTNCCCACGATCGCCCCAAGCTCGACGAGTAATTTCACAAGATTCCATTTCGGCGCTTATTTCGCTACGGCAACCGGAACCTAATGCGGACATAGAGCTTCTAATTTACCCGGCCATAAGAACCTGGGGCGTCCGTGTGCCAGCGGCTGACAGGTCTTCGAATTTCGATAGGGTCCATTCTTGGTCAGGGCGCTGCCCAAAGATTCTTCGTACAGCAAGTACAGCGCTGATCCCGAACCTGAAGATCTGAACCCTCCAGACCAGCACCCTGAGTCGTCATACTTGGCTTACGGCGATGCGATCAAAGCTGACACAATTATGGCTCCCAGCACTGAACACAAGAAAGAGAAAACAGTTTCGTCTTATTCCTCTTATGAATAGAGATCAATAAAGCTTGACATGCACATCTTTCTCGGTGATTAGCATCAAAAACCAAAGTTAAGTTCAAGTTTATGTGTAAATAAGTAAGAGAACCATGAATGGTGACAAGATATACTTGGTAAAACTATATAATGTAAGTAAATAATTGCTGACAGAGCTAAATTATCTGCTTTCTAAAGTGTATGTCGTTATTTGAAATTAATTCAAGGAGGTACACTGTAACTGTCAATTCTGTGCAGGATAATGTAAATTTGATCGTAATTATCGAGGATCAATTTGAGATATGTAACGAAGAATCATAATAGAATAGGAGTTGAGAAATTGGTTTCTATATTAAATTTTCACAGTCGTAAGTTGTTAAAATGCCAGTTTTTACAATGCAACCTTTATTTTTCTCCTTAACACACACTATGATTCCCCTACAAGAGAAAATCTGAAATTAACAGGTTTAACAAAATTTAATATTTTTCTCTAAATTTATAAATGATAGATCATAATCCTGAAAAATGCTTCAGATTGTGTACAAAATTTATCATTTATTAATCTTTTGATTATAGTCAATACCTGCACCAGCACGGCAAAAGTATGCTCATGATAGGGATTATTCAAAAATAACACGTGTTGATAATATAATATAATAATGTATAGAATAATTTTATGTACGTTTCTTGACAAAAACATCAGCGTTGAATAATGATGGACCGTGACCGAAAGCAATAAGTATTATTTGTGCATTCAATCATTGCATAAATGTTATATCTATCCTTACGCCAGGTATAACATGTTCTGGTACATTCAATCACCGGTATCGAACATCGATTTCAGCTCGTCATTGCCTAGAAATATAATATATAATAAGAATACGTGATAATGGTAAGAATTATTGAAATTAGTCTCTGAGTATATGGAATACCAAGCGTGTGATTAAGTACAAGTTGTGCATAAGAATTAATGTTTTATTTTGTTTCGTTTCCTTTTTTCTGGCTGCTATTACAAAGCCTTGCCGATAGAAAGATGTTCAGCATGACGTTCATCAACTTATTTCATCTACATCGTGACCAATTCAAAATGATATACGCATTAATTTTGTTGACCAGCTACTTTACTACCACTTGATTTCAAAGACTATGTTGTTGCATACAATTTTTTTTAATATCTTTAACACGATCCTTCGTAAGCTTTTTGCTCCAAAAGGCGACCGAAGATCCAAAATTTGTTAAGAGCATCGTTAACTGGCATACAAGTTATACGTAAATTTCAGCAGAACTCTCTGAGCATATTACCGACTCCATGTCCGGCGCAAATTTGTGTATGTATCAGGTTAAAAGTTATTCTTGCATGCAATGTTACGATCCGAGACAGTGAAAAGAAATCTCAAATGTGAATCTCTTAAACCTGAATGAAATCATTGGTAGTATGTCCAGATGCGTTCAAAATAAACTTTAAATTGGAATAGTGCATAGGACGAAGTGTGGGTTTATTTCGTTTGGGTCGATGTCAGCGGTAGTTCCGTTGAAGCTGAGACAACAATTTTCTTTTCCATTGGCATTATCTGGTTGAGATGGTTGCCAGGTAATGGATGTCGCAGGAACTGAATTGCCGAAACTGTCTTTCCAAGTTGAGGCACCAGGCGAAGTGCGCTGGAGGCCGATGAAAATAACAAGGTCTGAAAGTGCAGCCATTATTTCACGCATTTTGTTCGAGTCAGGAACATAGGCCATTTTTGCCCTCAAATTTGTGCAAGTGTTGTTGCCATCAGTCCATGACTGAACTCGATTAGTGGGCACGAAATATCCGTTAATTAAGTTTTTTGTTGATCCAAAAGTCATGAAGGACGAAGGAATGCCTGTGGTGACGAGAGGCACCGCCGCTGGGAAGACGTGGCACCGAGCAGACGAGCGGTCGTACGACCACGCCCAGCACCCCGTCGTCACCACGCACTGCGCACCGCAGCTGCGGCAGTCAAAATGTGCGGTTGTAAGATACTTCATAATGATGTTATGAATGAGAACTCGATATAGCAAAACTTGCATCTGAAATTACCTCGTAATTATTTTGTTCAGCTGTCTAACCATTCGTTGTGTCTCTAATAACATAACAAAAAATAAAATATATATCATATATAAGAATTTATGAAAAAGCTTCTCATTATAAAAAATATATGTTCAGATTTGAAATGCCTAGCACCATATCGAACCCGGTGGAAGTCTAGTAGCTACTTCAAACTATCGTCAGTCGTGAAAAGATCCGGTCAAATGACACGATTTTAGATCTTCGGTGAACAAGGCACGAAAAGGAAAAGAATCGGCGACAGGCCACATCAGGCCTACACTGCAGCGCCGAGATCACTATGTTATGTTATGTTATGTTATGTTATGTTATGTTATGTTATGTTATGTTATGTTATGTTATGTTATGTTATGTTATGTTATGTTATGAGCTGTATTCCTAGAAATAGGGAAATATTTAAATTTAATTCATGTTATTATATCAGTTCATTCACAGATTATGCTGGGTATGCATATCAGTTTCAGAAAGTTAGAAGCTCTTTTTTTAACATTTCAGCTCCATTTATTCGAAAAAAAATTTGTATGCAAAGAATCAAGAACAAAATGTTCATATTACGAACAAAATTTGACAGTGTAAGCTGTCAAACCTTGCGCGTGAGTTTCTTACCTGTGGATGCTTAAGAAGTTGTAAGCTGAAAATGAGCCGTTAAGCTCTCCTTTTGAACCATCTAAGAGCTTTTTAAAGCGTCCTTTTATTGCAGCATTGGCATGAAAAAACAACAAGTAGACAACTAGAAACTTAGCAAAGATGTAGGTGAATGATTTCATCATGAACATCTCTCAGTCAATGTAGAACTTTCCTTAATTTGGTGGAGAGAACAATAATAAAATGAGGATCACACCATCCGTGTTTATAAGTGTTGCACGCTTAATGAATTATTAAGAAACAAATAAATAATTTTATCACAACACAAATTTTATTAATAATTCCTTATCTTTGAAATAATTCCAGAAATAAGATAAGAATGCACACACGATAAATACTGGCCGTTTACGTATTTTGAGGCCTATGGGAAAGCCTAGGTTCACTTTATTTCTTCGGTTGTAAGCTTCTTATTAAAGAGGGGCAATTTTGAGACATTATCATAGCCAATTAATACTTCTAGCTCTGCATGGAAAAATTATAACAAGCTTCTCACACGAGTTACTCTGAGTCATTGACTACAAAGTAGCCTAGCCAGTCCCTCAAAAATCTTCTGAACGAGCTTGTCATTGATCAAAGATGTATTATTAATGGTTCAGAAGATGGTCGTGCTATATTATTCATGGAACTATTTCTTAACGAGACGTATTTAGTATCGATCGCATCCAGGCGCTCAGAATAATATGTGGGTAGCAGAGTGTCATTATATACCCAAGAAAGAAAGAAGTCGTATATGAATCAGTCAGCTCATGCTGCGAACTAATTTTTCATATGATTTCTTCTAAGTAATTGCGATGTGAATAAACCTTCAACAATGCTCGTAAGCTGCAAATGCCTCAACTTACTCCTATTGTGGTTAATATCGTAACATGCACAGCTAAATATTCAATTATTTTCCCATGTTTATATTGAATGCTTAGTGAAATTTACATTAAATTTGAACAATTGACGATAACAAACTAAAGATGAAAAATTACGCAGGTTGCATGTTTTTTTCGTGTAATGTGAATTAGAAGACAAATCAATGATCGGATTTTCAACCATTTCGTGTCCGTGGGCGACTCGAGGGCAGTTTCTGTACTCGCATCGATACTGAACGGGAAAATATAGAAATCTTCTGATAATGTTAGGAATCTGCAAGGATCACGATAGGTGTTCTGTGATCGTGTCAAGTCTAGTTGAATAACTGTTGTATTGACACAAATGATGGTAAAAGGTAACATGCACTCTTTCTTATTGTCTTTTCTTCATTGTGTGAGACGTGAAAAATATTGTCTGTTTTATGCTTGAGTGTATTTGCGCCAGTGATGCGTGCCAACCAATGAGGCAGACCTTACTGAGGAGTTTCGTTTGTTCGTTCATGGTGATACGACGTGCGGTGCTTTCGCTTAATAACTAAAATTCGCGGTGTTGTAGATTAAGCTGAAAATCCGGTGGAAATCTAGAAGAATTAGTGCTGACCAAAAAATGTGAAGAATATACAAGGGTATGGCTGAATCATCGTCAGGCCCTGGCCTGACAGAAGACCTCTTCTCTGAAGCAGTGATGGACACATCTGATTCTGCCGGCTTCTCTTGCGACTCACCAGTGATAGGAAGGCCTGCCAAAATCAAGTGCCCAGACTACACGGTCACGCCAGATCCGTTCTCTTATCAACGTCTTCAGAACCTGTCTCGACCAACACCACCCAGTTTGAAACACTGACTGCCAGTCACACCTCTATCACCTTTCTACTGCTACGAGAAGACAAAAGCCCCACCGTTTAACTTCTACATCCAAATCTCCAAAACATGGCCAGCAATAGCATTGCAGTTCGTCAAACCCGATAGTCTTAGCCGACAGGCAAAGAGCACCCTAATCACAGGGAAAGTACTGGCCAGTAAAGTCAACCAGTTAACCAATTCAGAGTACACCTGCGAACACAATGGAATTAAATACAAAATATGCTTACCTAGAGAGCCACCCCTGTTCCAAGGGGAAGTAATATTCGATTACACTGATATAGAAGACGAGTACCTACTGGGCTACATCACAGACGATCTTCTAGCCCAGCTCACCCTCCCTTGTCCCTGCAAACCAAAATGCAAATAAAATCCTAACAGTTTAAAAGCTATTCCCAAGCTGCCGATCCAAACAACAGCAGTTTTCAAGCGATGCGCATAGGGATCGAGTGTTCTTCGGCAGTACCAAACAAGGTATTCTATCATAATTTCTCGCTTTAAAGTACACTCCTACCTTGCCCCCCCCGTCACCGCTGCTACGGTTGCCAAAGATTTGGATTTGGCCACGGTTCTATATCATGTCGAAGACTGGCAGTCTGCGCCCGCTGCACTTCACCTGACCATGTCGTCTAGAACAGCAACGCCGACAACTCGTGCTGCGCATCATATAAGGGCCCCCATCCTGCATCCTCTTCTCGATGTCCTTTCTACAAAAAAAGGCCATGGTAATCTCCTCCCGTGCCATGTCTCTCTCGTGACATGGCTGCAAAAGAGTACGCAGCTCTGTACTTGCCAACAAAAATGCAAACTGGTCAATCGTCTTCAAGAAACACAATGCAGACCAATGATATACCAGAACCCCTGTCGTGCCTCTACCAGAGCATCCAGGAAACAGGGCTCCAAACCTAACGCACCATGCAAACTCGCAACGGCCAGCCTCCTACGCATCATGCGCATGTGACGGGATGCATATTATGTGATATTTTTTTTTTATAGGAGCACCGTTTTGACCACGTGTTATTTCGATGATGTTTTTTGTTAGATTAGTGACTCAATATGATTGTATATATATTTACGACTAGAATGTGGAATCTCGTTACTGTGATATTATTTTGTATGACTAAGGAATGCGTAAGCATATTTTTACTTCGTGACTGAAACAAGGAATCTCCTTTGCTGTGATGTTATATGTCTGTAGCGTTGCGTTGCAATCGTCTGCTAGCGCCACGCGTCGTCTGCTAGCCCTGACACGTTTAGACTTATTTCTATATGTTAATCGTAAAATATTACTTGACCTAAGATTTATTCGCTTTAATGTGCAATTATTTTGTCGAAGGACTATATTCTTTTGTGATAATCGTAATGATTTGCTGTTGTCCGAGAATCAGTGCTGTCAACCTACGATACTATCGTTAAAGTAAAGACGGCTAGGTCGCCATCTTGCGTAAGGAAGCTATACATCGTAGAGGTAGATGTTCTATAAGAAGTCGGTTATAACTTGTAGTCGTGTTGTCAAAAGGTTAAGCTCCTTATTAATATGATTTTATTAGGCGATAATACTTCTCATTTCATTTGATAATGCTTAGTCAATGTTCATTTGTCTAGTCTATTGACGAACTGTTACCGACTCACGCGCTCGCAAGTTAATTATACTCGAGAGTTATTCTATCTTATATCAACTTTCACTTATCATTATTTGACCAAAGGATTATATTAAGATTCTATTTTGTTATAATATACTATATTATCTATTTTTTGCATATAGACGATTTTAGTAGCCCATTTCTTGTACATTGTAAACGAGGGTGTTGAGGTAAGCTAGTTTAGCTGAGTTACCCCTCGCGGGAAAGTCGTGTGTGCTCAGTGTTACTGGGTTGGGGGACACATGTTTCGGCTCAAATTCAAGTAGCCAGATCTGGGCTTCCAAGAATAAATTCCACCTTACTTGAGGAATTAACTCTTGATGAGTTCCGCTATTGGACTAATAACGGTATAGGTGGAGTTCTTGGTTAGTTTCAGTTGCTGGTAGCGCTCTGGTTCGGCTGGTCCCGCGCCGAGCACTTCTCGTGTTATGGGGGCTAATAACCTGTGCACTCGAGTATATTTGTCAGCTTTCTGGTACAGCTTCTGCGGTACTGTTCGCGCCTCTCGTGTCGTGGGAGTCAACACATTCCACGCTCGAGAATAATCGGAACTTTGCAGTGCATTAGGGCTAAAACCCCTAGTCTCTGCGGCTGATTGTTAGCATCTCGGTGCGGTTAGTTCCCACACCATTTGCTGTCCGTTTTTGTGATTTGGCGGTGTATTAGGGCCAGAACCCCTAGTCTCTGCGGTTCGTTGTCGGCATCTCGGTGCGGTTAGTTCCCGTACCATTTGTTGTCCATTTTTGTGATTCTTGCGGTGCATTAGGGCTGGAACTCCTGGTCTCTGCGGCTGGTTGTTGGCATATCGGGGCGGCTAGTTCCCGTAAAATTTGCTATCTATTTTGTTATTCTCAGCTGTGTATTAGGGCTCATGCTGTGTGGTTTCTCGGCTGTTTGTACCCCTGAAGTGTCAAGCCTTTTTCCGTGAACTTTTGGACTAAGACGAATAATAAATTGTGTGCCTCGTATGGAGAACCTTGTAATTCGCCAGAAGATTACCATTGTACTACAAAAAGTTCATTGTGTTCATTCCTCCTCTCTCCAACGCAAGGGAATTTAGAACCGGACCAAAGAGCGACTCTTTAGCCCTTGTGTTTTAGAATCAGTACGAAAGCCTACACCAAGTCGGCACGCTACCCGTAAATATTTCAACTTCGCGGCGGTGTTTCCGGTTACACGTATTAAGACCAGAACAATCCTGTCCCTCCTTGGAAGCCCCTTGGCGTAAAAAAAACATGCTATCCTACTACACTACACCTGTCGGAAGAATACAGTCGTATCCTAAGTGGTGAACTCTGGTCTGACTTTACAGATCTTCCGCCCCTGCATCAGCTCTCACAAAACTTCATGGCAACCTCTCCGATCAGCCAACCAGAAGAACCCACACAAAAGTCATACTTTGTTGATCTCCTGGCCAATTTTTTCAAATCACTTTCTGTTCGCTGTTTACACTCCCTATCAGAATACTTATCCGCGTCAGACAGTCCACTATACGCAATGTTCCAGCCTCTTCTTGCCTCGCTGATTAGCCAGTTGTCGCCATCCTAATGCCGCTCCAGTCAGTATTTCTGTGGAATGCCCGAGGTCCAAGGATAGAACTACCAGAACTGAAGTCTGTTGGTCCCAGTCTGTTGTCTGCAAATTACAGTTCGAGCTAAAGTAGTAAAGTCAGGGACTCAGGTTATGAAGTGATGGTTCGATGCAATGTTCAGTGGTGGACAACCATTATTCTCTTGGCTATTCAGTTCAGAATATGATGGCATAAAGCTCCTGATATTGAAAGCAAGATGATGGCATGGGCTGGTTACCGAC